TAGCTCCTCGCCGCTCCGCCATGGCCTCGGCCAGCCAATCACCGCCCCCGCCGCTTCCGGGGAAACGCCCCCCGCGCGGCCGCTGATAGGGCCAGCCCCCAGGAGAAGGGACCATAGAGCTACGCACAGGAAGCTGCAGAGCTAGGAAAGGGAAGAGGTGGCCGGGCGCTTCTCACAGAGGGCGGCAACGAGTCTCTCTCCTCTCTCTCTCTCTCTCTCTCTCTCTCTCTCTCTGTGTATCAGTAAAATAGTTTTTACTAAATACTTCATTATATACTGTTTTCTATTTATTTTTTACTTGTGAACTCAATTTTATTCTATATATGTGTATGTGTGTTATAACAATAAATACAGAGTGCACAAGTGAAACGTATATATAAACAGTATATAGTAAAATATTTAGTTAAAAAAACTCTGTAATGTACTGTATATCTATAACAGTAAAAAACAGAGTTTTTAATTAGGTATTTTACTCTGAGCTGTTTACTGTTTATACTTTTGGCTTGTCAACTGCGCATTTTACTGCATTTCACTCGATTATGTCGGAAGAAAGGGACATGAAAATATAACCATCTTTAAGGTGCCAGCTATATGTGACAAACCCACCCGCCTCCAGGAAACCAGGGGTGGATTCAGCAAACTTAGCAGGTAAAGTCTAAAAAAACCTTTCGGAGCGTGAGATGTACAATCTTCTCCACCCATCATAATCTCCCCCACTGTGGCTTCTCTTCTCCCTCCCAAATATAGAGACAAACCCAGTTTGGAGATGCTTTTGCATTTTAATTGAACGGACGCGTGAAAAAGGAGGGCGGGATTCCCAGACGATAACAGGAGAACAACAGCCAGCATCCTTGAAAATTCATCTTGCGCCAAGATAAGGAAGATGGGAGTCGTAGTCCAAGGAAGGTGAGGATCGGCGTTTTAAGGTCCCTTTCCCCCCCATACAAAAGACTTTAGTCATTCCTGCACGCCTTCCCCCCCCCAACACCACCATACAAAAGACTTTAGTCATTCCTGCACAACAGGATAGAAAGGAGTGAATGGTTCAGGCCCTTGAAGGGTTGAAATGGCTTCCCGGCTGACAGCGCCGATTGGCCGGTGACCATGTCCTGGGGAACACCAGCAGACTCTGCGGCTGAAGTTCCCCTTCCTTATTACGGGCTGGGTTTGGGCTGACTCCACTGTTGCAAGATGTCCCCCGCAGCTTCGAGAGTAGCCTCCTCCTAGGGGTGAAATCAAAAGATCAGTCAACGTGGCGTGCCCACTTTTTCGGCTGGCCTCAGATTCGGGAGCCGGTCCCTCCTCTGGGCATGGTGGAATCCTTCCTATCCAGCTAGATGCCCGGGCAACAAATACCGGCATATTAAATATATGAACGATTCCCAGAAATCCCTTTCTTGGCAGAAATTGGGTTTTTTGATTTCCTCAACCACAACTCTCAGAATTCTCCTCTCTGGGAGGTCTACCTGAGAAACATCTTTCAGACGCATAAAATGTGGCTCGCCTGGGAGTACGGCCTAGCCTCGAGGTTCCGGACGCTTCCCTCCCATCTCGCCGGCAACTCACCTTAGCAAAACAGAAGCGTATGAGATGGCTGAAGTTCTTTTTCTGGGGGGAGCTGTAGAACGCAGAGACGGGAATGGCCGCTAAGCCCTGGGAAGGAGGATTATTGAGGGTGAATCTGAACCATCCTTTTCCATCTGGAATTTATTTATTTGTTTGGAATGTGTTTAACTCGCCCTTCTCCTTTAAAAAAAGGGACTCCGGGCGGCTCGCAGCCATCAAAAGATAGTATTTAAGATGAGTAACGGGGAGGATGCAGTCCAAAAAGCATCCGTGAATATAAACCCGAAAAACATTAGCAACACCAAAACACACATGCAAGGGAGGAAAGGCACAACCCTCCCCACCCAGGTAGCCGGTGAATTAAGGGAAAGCCTGCCTGGCTTCCAGTGGCAGGGAGTTCCATAGTCTGGGAACCCAGGTGTGAATTAAGGGAAAGCCTGCCTGGCCTCCAGTGGCAGGGAGTTCCACAGCCTGGGAGGAGCCGCCACCGAGAAGGCCCTCCTTTCCCGGGTCCCCACCGAGTGCACCCGTGAGGATGATGGGAATGAGAGGAAAGCCCTCCCCTGAGGATCTTAACACCTGGGCCGGCTCCTAAGGGGAGACACGGTCCTCAGGAGAGTGTGAATTAAGGGAAAGCCTGCCTGGCCTCCAGTGGCAGGGAGTTCCACAGCCTGGGAGGAGCCGCCACCGAGAAGGCCCTCCTTTCCCGGGTCCCCACCGAGTGCACCCGTGAGGATGATGGGAATGAGAGGAAAGCCCTCCCCTGAGGATCTTAACACCTGGGCCGGCTCCTAAGGGGAGACACGGTCCTCAGGAGAGCTTGGACTTTGTAGGTTACAACCAGGACTCTGAAGGGTGTCCGGAAGGGTGCTCAACAGAGGAAGGAGAGCTTTAAAGGCGCCTGGGAGGACGACACTCGGCTCGGCCCCCTCACCTTGTTCTGGATCATCCATTTGACAAAGCGAGAGTCGTAGGGCTCGTCCGAATCGGGCGGTGGATCAGGCAGGTCGGCTTCTGAAAGAGAAAGAGAAGCCGGCTCAAGGGGGCCGCCGACCCGTGAGAGGGTGGCTTCAACCTAGGGGTTTAAATAGGCGATCGTGGGGGATTTCTGAACACGCGGGACTACAAGCCCCATCGCCTCTACCTAGCAGGGACGTTCTAGGTCCACAGACCGGAAGGGAAGCAGGCTGGGGAATTCTGGTGCCTTCACCGTTTGGCTTGAGCCCACAATTACCGTATTTTCTGTGTATAAGACGCCCTCCCATTTTTCTAACCCAAAATTAAGAAATCTAAGTGGGGCTTAGCAAGTGGAGGGGGAAAGGGATCCAAAGCGCTGCAGGATCGCTTTGATCCCTGCTTTCCCCTCTACTTGTTTTTGTTCTCTCCTCAACTTACTTCTATGTATAAGACAACCCTCAATTTAGACAAAAGTATAGTCTTATACATGGAAAAATACGGAAATTTCGGCAACCCCGTATCTTACTGAAAGCGGAAAGGTCGGCCATCAAGAAGTAAGTGCCCTCGGGGACGATGGGCTTCATGCCCGCGGCCAAGAGATGCTGGATGAGGAGGTCTCGCTTCTTCTGGAGCTCCCGAGGCAGCTGAACGAAGTAGCTCCCTGGCTGCCCGAAGCGGTCAAATTCTATTTCGAAGGCACGGGCTACGGCTTCCTGGAGACGGGAACGGGAGGAGGAAGACCCTCGGCCGGCTGGAACTCAACGGCCGAGGTGATGCTGTGGATGCCGCCCACGGGCACCCTTTCCTTACCTGTGCCGCGGTGGCGCAATGATATACCGAATTCTGATGGACGGTCCGGAGGTGCTTCAAAAGGCGATCGGGCCCGATGGCCCATCCAACCTGTTATCAGAGAGACCGAGACATTTAGCGATCTCAAACTCAGAGACCAGCCTAAAAAAAACGCACCTCGATCCGCCTCTACTTAGCCGTAAATGTTTACAAACCTACAAATCCACTCCACACAAAATTCTTTCTCGATCTGGCTGAGCTCTGCCTGCGTTTACTTTGGAAGATCGCTTTTCCGGTAAAGGAGAGTCTTACTCATCTCCTGTTATGATCACATTTCAGCCTTACGACCTTTTAAAAATTTGTAACCTTCAAGGAATTTCAAGAGAGATCCCACTGGGCGGAGAGCCGAATTCACAAATTCACGATGACATTCAGCTCCACTTTCTGTGGTTTAAACAGGGTCAAGGGCTTCTTATGAATCAGTTCCTCTTCATGCAGGGTGTTTGTATGACCGTCCCGGTTTTGGGCAATCCCCTTTGATCTGTTAACGCTGGCATTGCTGTTTCGGGGTAGCCGTTCTGTCCCTGAACCAGTGGGTCATCCCTAAGGTCAGGGCAGGTTCTGCCTCTGAGATGTCGGTCACTAAACTCACCCCCCCCAAACCTGGCTTCTTACCTTCCATCCTGTCGCGCTGAAGGTTTTGCCGGCACTGCCTATGGTCACGGTCCGCTCCCACATTCCTGGTAAACTGGCTGTTGGGGGGGAAAAGGGAGGAGGAAGGGAAAAAATCCATTTGTGGGGAGGGGGGGAAGAAGTTAAGACATCTTTTTCTGTAGCTTGGATTAGCGGGGGGAGGGGGGTGTTTGGGACCAATCCCCTGTGTATATGGGGTCGCCCTTTAATGGTTTAAAATTTTAATTTTATGATTTAATTTTATTTATTTAATTGTTTTTACCTTTATGTGATTTTCTCCTGTTTTAACTACAGCATTTGAATGTTAAGATGTTGAAACTGAAAACCTGGCCCGGATTTACGGAGCCGGGCGGTCAAGGAAGGAAAAGATCCCAAAGACAGGTTTCTGCCATACCAATCCGGGTGTGTCGGTTCCCATCATACACGAGCCACTCGTAGACCTCATCGCTGAAACACAGGACGTCGTGTTTCGCACACAGAGCCGCGATGACCTCCATCTCCTGCCTGCTGAAAACCTGTCCCACGGACCCAAGAAGCAGGCAGAAGGTGAGAGGCACACTGGCCTGGAGCCTTTTTCCCCGTTCGCTTGCCCTGTTGAGCACGAAGCCGAGAGAGGGGGGTCTAATAGGATCAGACACCCACCCACCTGCATCTGTTATCACATTTTGCTTCTCTGCACTCCGGAAGAGAGCTTAGGAATGTTAGATTTTTGGACTGCCAGAGCCCGCATGCCAACCAAGGTGGAGGGGGAAAACGGGCGAAACAAGAGCACGCATCCCTTTTCATTCCACTTTCCCACCAAAAACAGATCAAGGGGGTCTTGGAATATTAAACATCTCGCATTCCACATATTCCAAGTGGCGGTTACCTTTCCTAGGGGATTGTTAGGAGAGTTCAAGACAATGGCTTTCGTCCGGCTCGTGAATTTGGCCTCCAGCTCGGTCGGATCCAGCCGCCAGTCTCCGCTAGAGATCAGCTTTCCGCCGGCTGCAGCCTTCTGGAAAAAAAAAGAGCAACACCGTGTAAAAATGGTGGCAGAAAGGTGCATTTCGAAGATGGAATGTGGCCTTGGGTATGTTTTACTTTACACCAAAGGATCCTCCTAACGTTCTTTAGAAATAGACTAGGATTTTCCTTTTAATATTTTTGAATATTTCCATGTTGTGGAAAAGAGAATCAGCGGATACCGGTCCCACGGATAAGAGGGTCCTACAATATAAATGTGTTTTATAGAGCAAGGGGTGTGCAAACTTAGGCAGTTTCATAATCCTACTTACTAGTCGCAGAGGTATGAACACAGGGGTCCCGCCCGCCATTTTCACCATCGGCTCGTAGCAATCGAAGTACGGCTCGATTATAATCACCTAGGAAAGTGGGACAGCGTGAACTGCAGAGGATTATAATACACACTCACGAACCAAGCAGAATGAAAAGGTAATAGTATGGACCCCAATCAAAGTGAAGTGTTACTTTTCGTCATGAGCACTGAAATGCTACAAGAACAGTGCAAGCTTTCAAGTTTCACAGCACTCTTTGGCCTCCGAAGCAGGGGAAGACGCAACACTTTTTCATCCGGAGGGAAAAGTTGGTCCCGTTACCTCGTCTCCATCATCCACCAGAGCTTGGAAGCAGCAAAAGAGCGCTTGGTAGGCGCCGACCGTCACCAGGACGTTCGTCTGTGGGTCAACCTCTCGCCTATGCAGCTTCCCGAAAAAACGGGCCAGGATGGATACCAGTCGCGGGTGACCCTGGGAGGAAAGAGCAGATCGTGTTTAAAATCGGAAACCGTACGGGCACTGAGGAATGGGGGCGGCCCTCGGACTTGAAAGGGTATCCCACGGCTACGAGTGGGTCCCCCATCCCTTCTCCGTGGGGCCTCCTCGGGAACAACCTGGCCAGCTGTCAGGTGAGGGTGAGACAGAGAGAGGAAGGCGGTTCTCACGCACAAAAGCCCGCGTGTACTGGTGCACAGAGGTATCTTCTCTCCCGACGGCCTCCATAAAGGCTTCTCTGACAAAATCCGGCGGGGGAAAGTTGGGGAAACCTTGGCCGAGGTTGACAGCTTTGTAGGCGGCGGTCAAGCTCACAAACTCCACCCTAAGGAGGAAAGAACACAATCCAGTAGGTGGAAAAAAAAGAATTGCACCCTATGACATTAGGGAGATGAGGAAAACAGAGGCCTGTAAAGGACAATATCTGGATAAACAGAAAGGGACTAGAGGCTGCTAGTCCCTCCGGACTTTCCCTGAGAATCTTACTACTCATTTTACAGTAGGACCCACTTATCCGCAGGATCAGTATCCGCTGAGTCGCTGGTCCACAGTCTGACAATATTAAAAGAAATCCTAGAAATATACGTTTCTAAAAATGAAATTAGCAGAACCGGCCTCTCGAGGGAGGCAGAGACCATGCTATGCACAGCGTTTGCTACCATCCACGAGTTTCAGCATCCACGAGGCAGCTTGGAGCCAATCCCCCGCCCATAAGTTAAGTCCCTAGTCCTTGTGGAGGTACAGAAAATAGGCTGGCAGTTTTCTCAACCATTGCTCAGTGAAATCAATAACTCCACGCCTACCATGTTTTTAACAAAAAAAAAATGCCTGAACCGTGGGATAAACCGATCTGCACGAGGTCCTTCAGAGAAAAACGTTGAATTGCTGATTGTTGGAAACAAACTACCCAGAAAAACAGCCGGGATTCCCACCAGCCCGTTCTCGATAGAAATGCATGCAGAGTATTTGAGATCAGCTCACCAAATATTCTCGTCCACGCCTTCCAGCCTCCGGGCTTGAACCGTCTTCTCAGACATTTTTCCCTAAAAAGAGAGAGAGAGGGAGGAAAAAGAAAGAGAAGGGAAGAAGAGACGTCAAAAACTCTTACAGTAATTTGTAAGAAAATGGGGCCTTTCTTTTACACCATCCAAGGGAGGAAAAAGAAAGAGAAGGGAAGCAGAGACGTCAAAAGCTCTTACAGTAATTTAACTTGTTAGAAAATGGGGCCTTTCTTTTACACCATCCATGACTCATGGGTGAATGACTGAGACTGTAGGTGCCAGTTGATGAAAGAGAGAGAAAAAAAGCTGGACTGCATTTTAGCGTCTGGGGGAGAAAGGCTTGGGACTTATTGCCCCAGAGATACTACAGTCCTAGAGTAATGCAGAGATCGGCGATGTGTTGCTCCCCTCGGAGGTTGCCGGATTACAATTCCCATGAACCGCGAGGGTGAAGGATCATGGGATCTGTAATTCTGCGCCACCCAGAAGACCACAAAGGTGACCTGCTCTCTTCGGAACGTATAACTTGCGTCACTGTGCTATCTGGGTTCACGACTGCTCTAATAAACCAGGATCCCAACCCAGGAATTAAAGAGTTTTCATACCTTGGAGTGGTAAAAGCTGGATCTCACCGAAGTATTCCTTCTCAGAAGGTCACAAGCCAAAAAACGTGCAAAACCCTTCACCATGCCACGAGAAATCTAGCCGGCACGTCCACTGTCATGAAACCTGCCTTGTTTCACAAAAGGCAGAGAGTGTGGGAGAACAAACGGGGGGAAAAAATTAAAAAGTACGCTCATATAAAACAATCACTGTAAGAGTGAATCCACCAACGTTCTTGTTTTGCTTTTTAGAAGGAGTCTGTTGCCTTTTAAACCTGCATTATCCTTTTAAGCGTGTATAAATAAGTGAATATAAGTTCCCAGATTCCAGAGCTCATGTAAGCAGGGGAGTTAATTACCAACTCTGTTTAAAATTAACAGAATCTTTCCCCTTCTTTAAATCACCATGGTGTGTGGGGGGGTCTCAGTCCCAGGGAACATGGAAAATTTATCTGAAGGTCCTCCAGGATACGGCCTGCTTATCGCTTCCACCGCCTCTTCTTTAAACCACACGTTTGGGAGAACGAAGGAGAGGCATTTTTGCAGGGAAGAAAACCTATTTAGGTGGCCTCTGCCATCCAGAGAGGTCTCGAAACAAGATCGAGGGGAAGCATACAAAATTGGTTCCTCTCTTATATAAATCCTTTACTTAACCTTTAGACAGTAGGACTGGGGTATCCACGGGAGATCGGTTCCAAGACCTCCCCTTGGATACCGAAAAATGCGGAAGTGTGAAACGCTAAACACTGCATGGTCTCTGTCTCCCTCCTGTGGCCCGTTCTGGTAAATACATCTTGGAAATACATATAAATAGGTATTTATATGGGTTTTTTTAATGTAATATATTTTTTGGTAGCGGAGAAATGAATCCGTGGATGCTGATCCAGTGGATAGGGGAATCCTGCTGTAAACTTGGTATTTCTGGATGTTTTTAATTTACTATTTTCAGCCAGCAGATAAGTGCATACTGATCTTGCAGATTGGAGGGGGGGTCCTATTGTACTTTCATATTTCCACATGCGCACACACTCATCGCTCATTTCCAAAAACGTCACAACCTGCGCATTAATGCCAACAAGAGCACCAAGGTAAAATCACGCACAAAAACAGGATTCGTATTCCCTTACTGGTACGGCTCCTTTGGTTTCATTCGCTACAGATTTCTCACTTTGGGACTAAAGTTCATGTTTTGCTGCCTTGCCAGTGAATCAGCAATAAAGACGCCCCCGTGGCGACAGTTCTGGCCCAGCCAGAGGGTCGGTTTCAGGCCTTTCCTTGCAAAAAATCTACGCACTTTCCACCAACACCGCCACACAGCTTCGAACAAAGGGCATTATTTTATTTTTAACTGAATGCAGTTTCAAATCCAAGGGAGCTCAGAACAGGCAGTCGAGAGCAGGGTTACTTAACCTTGGAGCCGGTGGACCTACTTACTCGGAATAGATCTCCGTTTCTGTTCCAGGACCCAGTCCTTGACGCTTCCTTGTCCGATGTTCAAGAACAGCTGATAGAGATGTGTCACGCCGGAGCTTCCTGGGTGGCGCCACCGACCTGCAGCCAACGGTGAACAGGGGAAAATAAATTGCATTTTAAATTGGAAGAGGGAAAGGCGACGGGCGTGAGGCTGATCACATTTCCGGGACCTTGCAGAAAATCCATTTTCTTGCATGCACAGAGCTTCTGGCTCAAAGCCGACAGCACAAGAGTACCTGGCAGAGTCAATCAAGATTATAAAAAATATTGACTGGCATTATATAACAGATACAAGTTGTAAGGAAAAAAAAACCCTAAGTATCCGTTTAATATCAGTGCGGTGGGTTCCATTCCAGCTCTGACATTCTAAAGTGGCTAAAGATGGATTTAGGGACAGATGCTCTCCAAAATCTGGTCTTTACCAAAGAAGGAAAACCCGACACAAAAACCGGAAAAAAAACACACACACACCAAACTTGAGTTAACCACACTGCTTGTTTCTCCTTTATTACTATTTGTGGAACGTCCCACGGCCATCCAGCCCAGAAGAATAAAAGGGGGTGGGTGGGTCAGTGAATTATTGATTTGTTCCTTCTCGAAAGCCTTTTTTAAAACCCCGCTCCACTTCCCAAAGGCCTTCCCTGCCCTGCACAGATTACATCATCGGATGCATTAAAGACACGTTCCTTTTTGTTATCGATCCCCTGCCAAAAAAAAAATAAAAATAAAATCCAGAATCAACAGTGGAATCAGAGACTTGCAAAAGGGTTGGTGTTTTGGATGCCCTAAAAGCAAAAACACAACCAAACAACAACAACAACGGCTTAACCAAAAGGCTCCGCATTGTCAAATCAAAGTCGTTAAGATATTTTCGATTACGAGCAATGTCTTTTCCTATTTCTAGAGGCAAAATTCCGGAACAGCAAATGTCCTCCTTCTGCATTTCAAATCTTTTTTGCCTGGAATGGGTTTGGGTTTATACGCACATGTATATGTAAAGTACACTCTGTACTGTATATGCAAAAATTCATAAAATTTGTACTATATACATTATACATAGTACATACTGTATATATATTACATATATAGTACATATATATAGAATATATATTGTGTATATATCACACACGTGTGTGTCTGTATATATGCATATCTATATGTCTACATTTAAATGCAAGATCCCTATATCTGTAGTGTATATAAATTATGTGCAACATACATTTAATATACTGCATGCTCATGTGTATGCATAGATATACAGTACACGTGTGTGTATATATAACACTATATAAATATACACAGTATAAATGTATATTGCACTATATAAATTTGTATAGTATAACATACATTCATATAGCATATATTTGCATAAACATATATAAACATATTTAGGGTAATATCTCAAACCCAATGAATGTTAATGACTTAAAATATATTATTGTTTTGGTCCAGATAACCCTGGGAGAATTCAATTTACAGTTAGATATTTTAAAAACCCAAAACAAAGCAAAGAAAAAACGAAAAAACAAAACACTAAAGGTATATTCGTATTATATGACCTACCTACTGCTAGGGACAGCCAACCCAGCCGCCCTTCGGCAACATG